CCATGTTGAGTGCTGGTGTCCAGAGACAAATGAAGCACAGCACATTCCGTACTCTTACCTCTATTGCTACTCTTATCCTACTGCGACATAAATGCCTATTATCTTAAATGTCTTGCCTGCTAGGCACATAGTATGCATTCAACAAATATTTATTGAATAACAAGTATATGACAAGCAATTGTGAACTTACTGTGTATAAGACATTTTCAGACACTGTTGTTGTCAGACACCATCAAATTGGTTCTTATTCATAGTGACCCGTGTACAACAGAACAAAACACTGCCTAATCCTGTACCATCCCCACAATCACTGCTATGCTTAAGCCCATTGTTGCAACCACTGTGTCAGTCCATCTCATTGAGAGTCGTCTTCTTTCTTGCTGACCCTCTACTTTTCCAAGTATGATGTCCTTCTCCAGGGAGTCCCCGCCTGATAACATGTCCAAAGTATGTGAGATGAAGTCTTGCCATCCTCACTTCTAAGCAGCATTCTAGCTGTACTTCTATGGCATTATATTTTGTAACTATAGAAACAGTCTTATGAGGAAGTGTGGTAGACTAAAGATGGCTGCAAATTCTTTGACTCAATGGGATTGAGATGCGGGATCTGTATCTCTCCCTTGCATCTGGTTGGCCTACTACTACTTTGAGTAATAAAGTACGATGAAAATAGCACTATGCCAGGTCCAGGACAAATCGTTAGGAGGATCAACAGCTTCTGACTGGTGTCTTGGAGACCTGAGAAAACAAGTATAAAGTACAACTACCCTGCTGGGAAGGCCACGTGGAGAGGGTCTAGGACTACTGCAAGAGGGAGAGGGATCCCACTGATCCCAGCTTCTAAGTCCTTCCCACCAAGGTATTCAGCATGTAAGTGAAGCCATCTTGGATACTTTAGGCTAGCCTTCCTGCCAGCAAAATACCAATTGACCCACGTCACCACCATGTGGAGCAGAAGAATGCCCTGCTGAGCCCCTTCCTGAACTCGTGACTCATAAAGTTATGAAGTATAATCAAATGGTTATTTTTTAAGCCACTAAGCTTTGAAGTAGTTTTTTATATGACACTAGATAATCTGATAGGACCACCACTCATCTGTTAGTTTGTCATACTGACATGTTGTGGCATATGTGTTGCTATGAGACTGGAAGCTATGGCACCAGTATTTCAAATACCAGCAGGGTCACCCACAGGTTTCAGCAGAGCTTCCAGACTAAGACAGACTCAGAAGAAGGAAGGGGACATTCACTTATCAAGAACTTGCCAGCAAAAATGTTATGAATAGCAGTGAAACAGGGTCTGATACATTACTGGGCAACTTTATGAATAGCCCTGTAGTAATAGTTCTGTGGTACATAGGGTTGCCGAGTCAGAGCCAACTCGACGGCACCTAACAACAACCACAACAACAAGCAGACAGGAAGGGACTATTATTTTCCATTTTAGACCTGAAGAAATTTAAGGTCTAGGTCCACAGATAATGTAAACACTGGGTTAGGGGTTTGAGCATAGTCTGTGTCTGACCCTAAAACCTGTGCTCTGAATATCTTGTTATAGTGACTAAACCGTCTCTTAAGCCCTCAGAACAAGCAGGCCAAATTTACAACTTCTCCAACATGGACAAGAGGTAGAATCTACTATTTTTTTCCCCTTCAATTCCTCTGCTCCGAAAAGATTCGATAAATAATTTTGTAATGACTTTCCTTCGCATGGTTGATAGCAGAAGCAGATGTATGTGAAAGAATAGGAAATAATGTTTATAGCATGCCTTCTAAGAGTCAGGCACTGTGATGTGTGCTCCTCCTGTGGTATCTCATTTACTTCCTTTCAACCTCATTGAGAGATATAAAATCTTATCTCAAATTGCAGGTGGGGAAATCAAGGCTCAGAGAAGGTAAGAAATTTGCCTAACTAGTAAGTGTTACAGAGCTCTTGTAGCATAATGCCTAAGGTACTTGACTGCTAACCAGAAGGCTGGCAGTTCAAACCCACCAGCCACTCCTCGGAAGGAAGACAGGGCAATCTACTTCCGTAGTGGTACTGCCTCGGAAACCCAAGGAGGGGTCACTATGAGTCGGGTCCAACTCGATGGCACATAACAACAACAGTAAGTGTTATAGCCAACATAGAGATCTAGGTCGACCTACCTAGATCTATATGTGAGCTAGTGACTAAGTTTTAGGCCATTGGCAGTTACACAGGACTCTGGGGTCACAGAGGAAGATTTTATCAATCATTGTACATAGGTCTTCAAGAAAAAGTAAACTTTTGCTCAATCAAGAAATGAGGAGGACAACTGTGGCAGAACGTTGTGCAAGAATATGTACGAAGGCACAAAAGCCTGAATGGGCTTGTGATTTGAGGAAATGCTAAGAAATATACTTACATATACTCATATATATGTATATATGCTTAATTTATTTAAAATTGTCACATATGTATATGAATATATATATATATATATATATATATAAACACACTCAAAAAAACCCAGTGCCATTGACTTGATTCTGACTTATAGCAACCCTGTAGGACAGAGTAGAGCTATCTCATAGGGTTTCCAAGGCTGTAAATCTTTATGGAAGCAAACTGCCACATCTTTCTCCCATGAAGTAGCTGGTGGAGTCAAACCACCAACCTTTTCATTAGCAGCTGAGCATTTAACCACTGTTCTACCAGGGTGTTTTCTCTATCTGTCTGTCTGTCTCTCTATATGTAATGGTGTATGTAAGTATGTATATACCAACATATCAACAATGAATGATGGGTAAGTAATTTTCTTTTCTTCCTGTTTATTTCAATTTTTAAAGTGTTCTACAGTGAACATTTATTACTTGAGCCAGAATGCTCCTGAGAAGCAAGGATGATGAGACTTCATCTCATATACTCACAGGAACCAGTCCTTGGAGAAGGACACCATGCTTGGAAAGTGGAGGGTCAGCAGAAAAGAGGAAGATCCTCAATGACATGGATTGACACAGTGGCTGCAAAAACAGGCTCAAACATAGCAACGATTATGAGGGTGGCTCAGGACCAGGCAGTGTTTTGCTATTGTACATAGACAGGGCTGCTATCAGTTGTAACCAACTCTACAGCACCTAACAACAACAGCAATAAACTATGAAGAAAAAGAAAACAAAGCTCTACGTGGTTTGATCAGTGGGTGTAGGAAGACAGAGGGTGAGAAAGGCAGGTGAGCACTGGCTCATATGACATATAATGTAACAGGAGAGGTGAGCTGGGGCAATCTTCACAACTTGAACTAACCATTAAGCAAACCTCTCTGCTCTACTTTCCTTTCCCTTACAAAAGCTTGGAGACTCAAAGTAAGAAGTCCCCCCACCCATGAGTGACCCTAAGTGAGAAAATGAACACCCAAGCAGAGAGAGTAGCTACTGTGCTCCATGCAAAGAATCAGAACTATCGATTATTTGCTGGCTTCTTTCAGCCACGTGCAGTCATTCAATAAACACACTGGAAATAATGGAGATCTGATTAAGCTATCCATGGAGGGGATGACATATAATTATCTGACTCTGTTACTAACTGGAACAAAGGAGGCACATAGAGAAAAACCACATATTATTCTAAAGGTTGTTAACAGAAACAATATTAATTAGGAGACCAGGAGTGGGGTAGGAAGTTGGGCTGCATCTCTGAGAGGATTGCTTTTAGAAATACTATTCTGCAGGAATGAATGGGGCAAAAGGATGCTGTTTTTCTCCCACTGAACCCCATAAGCTCAATGTGGGAATATCATAGTTATGGTCCAGGCTGAGGCAGATGGTCACATTTTCCACGTATAGATTAATTCTACTTCCTTAAATGCGGTATGACATTTATCTCCTTCACGGAAAAAGAAAAAGAATTTGAGGAGGGAGGGGATCACTGTTTCACACTAACATAATAAATATGTTAGATGATTAAGAGGTTCTAATTGTGAACACCTGATCTTTATTTTAGAGAAAGTAGGAAAAGGCTGTGGTCCTATGAGTCAACAATGTTTATCTCAGAGTGGTAGGATTATGAGTAAATTTAATTTTCATTTTTATACTTTTGTGCATTTTCTCCAATGAGCTTGTATGGTGTTTGTAATCAGGAAACAAAACAAACAGAACAAAAACCTAATCACTTCCCTTTAGAATTAGACTGCCTTAAGTTCCTGACTGACCATTCTACAAGGCTGGAAGAAGGGGGAGGGTGGAAGTATCAAGGCCAAGAGAAGGTGCGTGTGGTGCAAAGGACTCAACACCAGACACCGCCAGTCCATGTGCATTCAAATTCTAGCTGTGCATCGACTGCCTGTGTGAGCTAGTGACCAACTCCGCTGCTTCTCAGCTTCCAAAATTTTCAGTAGGGGTCATAGAACACATACAAAAGTCCCTGCGAACCAAAAGCTGATATATAAATACTAGGTATTATTTGGGTATGAAAGGGATTGGACAGTAGGAGAGGGGGAAAGGAGAGAGAAGACTCACACTAATTGAGCACCAGCCACAGCCCAAGCCAGCAGAAGGTGATGAAATCATCGAAGGGTGGAAAAAGGCAGAGGCGAGAGCAAGAATCAAACACTGGTCTCTGCCACATACCTATGCCAGCCATTCACACATATCAGCTCTTGGGTATTTTTACAACAACCCTCACAATCATCACCCCCATTTTGTGGAGGGGAAAGTGAACCGCACAGGGGTTCAGCAACTCTACCAAGGTTACATCTTGAGTAAGCAGCAGGCTAGGTCTAGATCTCAGGTCTGCTTGATTCCAAAATCCATGCTCCTCCTCGTCCTCTCCACCTGCTCTTCCACCTCTTCTCTTCTCTAGCAAATAGAGCAGAGAGCACCACGTCCTCAAGCAGTGCTGCTGAGCCAGCTTCCGTGGTCAGGGTAGGTGGTGTGGACACTAAACTGCCCCGCTAAAGAGTTCACGTCTCAGCCCCACCCTCTCGCCACCCTTCCAGGCCCGGCCCCGCCACGCCCTGCCCTACCCCGCCTGGCCCGCACCTGGTCTCCAGGGGTATATTGCTGTTGAGCAGCCAGTTGTCCTGGGCGTGGGAGGGCTCCTGGGCGCCGCCTGCTGGAGGCTCCCCGGAGAGCGAGTGGTCCGTAGGGGCTGGGCTGGGGTTGCTTCTCGGAGTGAAGTTGCCTCGGTTCAGGGAGTTAATGGAGGCCGCGTGGTGCTGGTTTGGAGTATGGGCGTGCGAGAGGGGCGGCGGCGGCGTCCGGAGCCGCGAGTGGTTCTGCAGGCCGCCGGGGTGATCTAGGGCACAAAGATATGCAATCAGGGTGGGCAGCGAACTCGGGCACTGCCTGTCTGCCTACAAAAGCAGCCCAGAGAGGTTTGAACCAGAACTACAGACAAGAAGATTCCACGTTCATCAGGCACTGGCAAATTATACATATACATTCATTCATTCAATAAATATGTATTCAACTGGGATTTATTGAGCACCACCTTTTCTAGGTGCTCGGGATACATCAATGAACAAAACTGTACAAAAATCCCTGTCCTCATTAAGCTTAAATTCTAGTAGGGAAAGAGACAATAGATTTTAAAAATAAAGACCAGCTGCAGATGCCAACAACTTCACACTGTTTCTTTCATGCTTTTAGGGCAGTAATATTCAAAGTGTAGTTCCAACCAATAGCTCAACATCACCTGGAATTTGCAGGAAATGAAAATTCCCAGGCCCCTCCCCAGACTTCCTGGATCATGAAGCCTCTGGTGGAACTCAGCCACCTGATTTCACAAGCCCTCCAAGTGATTCTGATCACCATTGTTTATAGGGTCAGTATGAGTCAGGATTGACTCCACTGCAATGGGTTTGGATTACACATAGTGTATACAGTATATGAAACAAGAAAAATAAGTAAAAGATATAGTTTACTGAGATGGTGATAAATCTGAGAAGGCATAAAGCCAGGAAGGCATCTAAGGCCTATGTTTAGACAAGTTAGCCAGTCATGAGTTCAGGAAGCTATTGAGCAAAGAGAGTGAACCATGCTGGGGTCTGGGGAATTAAAAACCACTGCTAACATTTATTAAGCACTTACTATGTGCCAGGCACTCTTCTGAGCCGTCTATGTGTATTTATTCAGCTAATCCTTACAATTCACTACAGAACAGGTATTCATTTTATCCCCATTTTACAGATGAAGAAACATACATATTTTATTTACTCCCATCAACTACTTGGAGAAAAAGATGTTCCCATTTTATAGATGAAAAAATACCCAGGGAAGGTAAATAAATACCTAAGGTTAAGTGGCTAAGCGATGTTATTTACAAGGAATAAAACCAAAAAACAAAACAAACTCACTGCCATTGAGTTGATTCTGACTCATAGCAACCCCTTTTGGGTTTCTAAGGCAATAAACCATTATGGAAGTAGATTGCCCAGTCTTCCTTCCACGGAGTGGCAGATGGGTTTGAACCACCAACCTTCTGGTTAGCAGTCAAATGCCTTAGTAAACAAAATTTCTGGTGATGCTCCAAATGAGGTAATTCCTGGAGGTAAAGCTTATCTACCATCTACCTAAGCTATGCTCACAGAAAACCTAATCTTTAGAAGTTGAGGCTATTAAAGGGGTGAAGAAGTCAGGAAAATGGGTTATAATCTAGATTCTGCAATTTATTAACTGCCTGACAATGCATAAGTCACTTAACTTCTTTGAGCTTCAGTTTTTTCACCTGTAAAATGGGGCAAATAGTTTGCAAAGGACACAGAGAGCTACGGTGAAATAGAGTGAAATGAGGCACTCGAAGTGAAAGAAATATTTCTGCAGTTCACAGTTTACAAGATTATTTAACTGAATTTGTTCCTCATGAGAATCCTATGAGGTAGAAACCTGTATTTTATAGGAGACACACACTCAGAGAGAACCAGGATTCAAACCAAGACAGATGAGATTCAAAGGCTGTGCTCTTCCCTTCATTGGGAGACGGCTTTTTGGAAACCATTCAACATATGCAGCGTGAGGCACTACCAGTGTTAGGGCTATTTTTAGTGGACGATAATCACACTCTGCTTTTTAGGTGACCCAATATTTCATGCAAAGAGTTATAAAGCAAATCTGATGGGGAGTGAGTGGGGGGAGACAAAACCCACCTGAGTGGATCACTTCCTTATCACAAACTACTGCCTTCAAAATAAAGCTCAGCCAGGGCCTGGAAAGCCCTTTGTGTTCTGATCCACACCTGTCTTTCCAGTCTTTTCTCTCCCCAGCTTCCTTCCTTTACCCTCCACTCTAGCTAAATCATTCGCACAGAGGCAACTCAAGTGTCTGAGATCTCAGGTCCAATGAAGATAATGAGGATGCTCATGTAACATGAATGGGACCCGCTGATGATGTGCAATGCTGTGGTGCTGAACCAAAAGGAAGCTCACAGAGATGCCACTTAATGGGAATGGTGAGACTCTGGAAGCCAATATGCCTGGAAGCCAGGCAAAGAGTCCTACTCAGGGATCTCTGGTCCTTGCAGAAGAGAAGATAGCCTTGGACCATTAGAAGGTAAGAATGTACAGGGTCAATTGTTTTTGTCCAGTTGACCTCAGGCAGCACTTTAATGGAGACAGACAAAGTCTGGGACAGAAGCCAGCAGCAGAAGCATCCTCCTGGGCTAACTGAATGTCGCTGCTCCTCGTCCCTGACTTTCAGGCTGTGAGCTGGCTGAAGTCCAGGGCACTGGAGTAGTGAGAGGAGGGACTGAACCAACCACTGTCTAATCACTGGTCAGGAGGCCAGCAGAGAAGGGTGACCTGATGCTTGCTTCTGCCCCTATACTAGGGGCCAACTTTCTTTTCTTTTTTTTTGTTTCTCTTTTTTTTTTTTT